CCCCAAAACCCCAAAACCCCAAAACCCCAAAACCCCAAAACCCCTTATAAAAATATTTTTGTTGAACCAAAAAGATGCCCTCTTTGATTGTTTCCATCATCTAGCTGATTTACAATCCCTTCTCGTCATAATGGAAAAGAGGTAATAAGGGCATTACAAACCTCCAAATGTGGTAGATTTTAGTTTGGGATCTGCTTCAATTAAAGTCTAGTTATCAGTATAGTCAGACACATAAAACTAAATTATCTGGGTAATTAGTAAAGGACTCTGTGATGTTCCCCAAGTTTGAAGCTCATTTTCAATTACTTTAAGCACATGGTTTTTATCGAGTTTTCTTCATTTCAATGGCCACTGATTTCTTGAGCTTTTATAGACATCATCTGTCTAAATTTATCTCTAAATTCTATTATCTTATTTAAGAAAGCCTTATTGAGATGAATTTTCAAGTCTGAGAAAATAAAGAGTCTTGGGAATGTGTCTAGTCTTGACTTCTCCTTATAGGAAGATTGGATCTTTTTGTCCCTCTTCAGCAAATAATCTTGGCCAAACCCTTCTATTTTAATAAACATAAAAATATGACCTTACACTTTGAAAACTTTCAAAGGAAATTTTGATAAATTAAGCTAGTTCCTTCTTTGATCCTAATTTTCAACCAGCATAGAAGAGACTTTAAAACTCTTGAGGTCCCAAACAATATCTTATCATAATTTACATCTCAAGGTTTGTACTATATGAATAAACAACTCTATCAGGTGAATAGTTAAGTATCTGAAATTCCCTTGGCTTGTCCATATCTAGTTGTCAGAAGTTCATAAAAATATGAGCTCAGGTAAATTGCTGCTAACAGACATACCCATGTTATTTTTGCTTCTTCACATCAGCTTTGAAGAGTAAAAATTTTAATTCTTATAAATTTTATTTGCAAGTAAATGATTTCCTTTCTTGAACCATTGTTGTATAAAACACTCCAAATCATTTGCTCCAGAGGAGTTACACACAGCACAATTTTGGTAAGCCTTAGTGGCTTTTCTTAATTCAATTTAACCTCCTTGGTTCAAATACGAAATTTGATATAAGTTTCTTCTCATAGCATTATTATCAAGCTTTTCTAAAATCTAATGTTCTTGACATCCTAGCATGCTCAAACTCAGAATTTTGTATCTTTAATGGCTTTTCAATTACCTTAAAGATCATTCAGTTTGTACTGACAATATTCTCATCGTAAGTGACAACCTCTGAAAAGATAGATAACTTATGAAAGACTAATTATTCATCAATTATTATATCTATTGAAATGAACAAAGCCTTATCGTTTCCAAATCAAAGGTTAAATGTTAGGATATATCTCTGAGTTACCTGTCTCATCAGCTATCATAGCTGGTTTCCCTGATTATGCTAGATCTTCAGGTACTAGCACTATAGAAACAGACTTGGTCTCCTCAGGATAGAAATATGCATGAATCTAGGAAGTAGAGAGATCATCTCCCATGTATAAATATCCAAAAATCTCCTGGACTCTAGAATCAGCCTATTCAAACTAAAGTGATTACTTTTTCACCAATGATGCACTTTGCCTTGGCTATCGCCAAAGGTTGAAAACATTAGGACTTAAAATATTAAGCATTGAAGGCTTTAAGTTCTCTCTGTCAAGCTGCAGTCATTCTCTGATGAGAGGAGTCTCCCTTAGCAGATATTGAAAACTCATATTAGTCTCAGAACAGACTTTATGAGGTTCAGGCTTCATGATGCAACCAAGACTCCACCTGAGAAAAGTTTTGAGGAAGCTGCAAGCACGAGACTTGTCACGAGAGGATTCGAATCCACCAGGTTGGTGATATAAGGAGTGGTAAGAGAAATCTGAGCTTTAATGTTAGTAGATGTAAATTCTCTTTAGGTAATTCAATTAGGTTATTTCGATTCGGGGTTTTGGGGTTTTGGGGTTTTGGGG